AGAGGACTGCAACTCTGCCCTTGGGATCCAGCTCCCCCTGCAAATGAACAGACAGACACACGTAATCGAATCTCGAGCGGATGAACAGATAATCTGAGAGAGAGACTGTGGAAATGGGGGAAGTGGAAAGGGCACTCACCATTGTCTTCTCACCGTGGATCAGACGCGACTCAGCACGGGTCGTCTTCTTCCTGAAGATGCACGAAGATGAGGAGGCCGAGGCGAGCTGGTGGCGGCCGGATTTGGTGGAGAGGCACTCAGTGGGTGCCTCGCGTCGCCCTGTGCCTCTACCCCCGCCGCTTCGGGCCGTAGCCGTGCTCAACACCGCGCCGCCGCGCCCGGGCTCGAGCTCGACCACGGCCGCCGTCGAACAGGAGCAAACAAGGCGGTACTTCCTGGAGGCGAAGGAGTCGGCGGGCCGGCGGCCAGCGGTGCAGGGGGGCGAGGAAGAGAGGAAGAGCACGAGCTCTGGAAGGGGAAGGGGCCGGCGGCCAGCGGTGCGAGGGGGCAGGGAAGAGAGGAAGAGCACGAGCTCTGGAAGGGGTAGGGGCAGTGGCGGCTCCCCTCCGTGAACATGAAGAGGGAGGATGACGATTGGGGAGAAACCCTATGGGCATTGGCTTTTATACCCCGTAGCGAAATTACGAAAATGCCCTCGGCGGGGGACAGGAATCACACGCGGTGGCATAGATATTTCACCGGGCGAGGTAACTATTCATTGCTACAGGGTCCGGGTTTCGATCTGGCGGCCCAGATAGCTCGGGAGCTCGATCCGATGGCCAAAAACGCGTCAAGAGATTCTATCCGACGGTCGAGAGTCCCTAATCGTTGAGAGAGCGCGGGAGTGACTGTCTCCCTTATTTCTCGATGAGGTTTCTAAACTAGTTATAGGATAACTAATTTAGAAGCTCAACAAATTTAGAGCGCGGCTTTTTTAAGCTGTGGAGAGGGCGAGGGGCAACTTATTTTTTAAGCCGCCCAAAAGAATTAGCGCTAAAGCGCAATCTACCAACCAGTGCACAACCCCCTCCCACCTGGGCTCGGCCCACTTCCTTTTTTTCGCGACAACACATTTTCCGCGCAAGCTAACAGTTTGTATGTGAAACGGGCCAAGCACCGCTATTCATTTCTTCAGAAGGGGTCCAGCTGTGAAGCTTCTAGCAGCTCCCGACAGGTTTGCATATCCTAACAAGTTGATGACTTCTGGGCGTGGTCTGCTGATCCTAGAGGTTTGTTCTCTCTGTAGTCTGCATATAAACTCATATATGGTATAAAATCAGGAACAGAAGCGTGGATGGAAAGCACCGAGACATCGTCTGATCCGGCGCTAGAGAGGAGGGGTTGGTCTTCTTTGTGGAGTTTGCAGGTTCTATCAAAGTTGAAGGTGTTCACTTGGAGATTGGCACAACACTCATTACCTACCTATGATCTCTTGAAACACCGTAAGATGGCGCCTAGTCACGTCTGTGCAATCTGTGGTGCAGAAGATAACTGGAGGCATGCACTACTAGACTGCACACTTTCAAGGAGCGTGTGGGCATTATCTGATGATGAGCTGGTTCAACACATGTGCATGAGTGGAGAAGAAAACGCAAAGGACTGGCTTTTTGTAATGAGCAGCTCTCTCTCGCAAAAGGAGTTGACCACCATGATAGTCACGTTGTGGGCTATCTGGTATGCCATGCGAAAAGTGATTCACGAAGGAATCCTACAGACCCCTTTTACTACAAATGCGTTTGTGCAGAGATTTTTGTCTGATATCCAAGTGATTGCAAAACCCACCAATAGAGTACGGATGCCACCTCCACCGAAGCTGACTGGATGGGTAAAACCTCAAAGGGAGCACCTGAAGATCAATGTCGATGCTGCGACATCTAGGTCCGGAGGATTTGGAGCTGTTGGAGTCGTCTGCAGAGATGAGACATGACTTTTTCAGGGGGCTTCGTCACTTAAATTCATGCACATTGAAGATCCCGAAGTTCTTGAGGTCTTGGCAATAAGAGAAGCTCTAGCACTAGCAACTGATCTATACGCGTCGAGGATTTCAATCGCTTCAGATTGTAAGGCGACAGTTAAGAGTGGAGCTTCATCATCTTGTTATGGAGCTGTGGTGCTTGAGATAGAACAATCATCTAGGAATTTTATTTCTTGCATTTTCTCACACGAATTTAGAATCTCAAATGTTGAGGCCCACATGCTTGCAAATCATGCTTTAACTCTGGGTACCGGCCGCCATGTTTGGCTAGGTCACCCTAGAGATCTTTGCTTTGTCCCTGTAAACTGTGTGACGGATGAATAAAAAGCTTTGCGAGTTTGCTAAAAAAAAACTCCCGGCAGGTTTTGGAAAGCTCCTAGAAGCTTTTGACTTTTTTTTCCTTTTTTCCATTGTAGGTTTTCTCAACGGTTTTTTTTTCTGTTTTTTTATTTTTCCTTTTCTTTTCTTCCCTTTTCCTCTTTTTTATTTTGCACTTTTACTTTTCTTATATTTTTCTTTTTTTAAGTGCATGAACTTTAAAAAAATTCCTGAACTTTTTCTCCCATTGGTAAACTTATTATTTCATTTTTCTATGAATGCTTTTTCCTCAAAATCACAGCCTTTTTTTCAATTTTGTGAACTTTTTACCCTCAAATATGTGAAATTTTCAAATCTGTAAACATTTTGTCGAAAATTATGAACTTTTTTTCTCCAAATCATGAACTATTTTTCAAGTCCACGAAACACGCGAACTCTTTCCAAATTCATGAACTTTTTCTGTACTCGTGTAGTTTTGTAAGTTTGTGATTTTTTTTTCAAATTCGTGGAACACGTGATTTTTTTTCAAATTCATGATTTTTTTAACTCGTTAACTTTTTTGAGTTCATGAACTTTTTATTAATCCACGACTTTTTTAAATCATGTGAACTTTTTTTGGACCCATTAAGTTTTTTCAAATCCATGATTTTTTTAATCCCACGACTTTTTAACTCGTGAAATTTTTTCAAGTTCATGAACTTTATTAAAGCCATGTTTTAAATTTGTGAACATTTTTTGTTCTTTTTAAAACATAACATTTCCCTCAAAAAGTCAACAGTCAAGCGGTCAACGATGGAGCGGTCAACCACCACTAGTGAACCGGGAAAATCAGGCGCCCCTATTCCTTTTTTAGACAAACTGGGTGTCCCAATCCAGGGTTGCCTGCTTTCGTGGGCTGCCCATGAGGGGCTGTTGGTGAGCGCCGGTTCCCCTACCTGGTGCTTAAGGCGCTAGGGAGGAGGTCTGGGTTTTCGTCGACAAGGTCGAAGGTGGAGAAGACATACACCGGTCGTTTATGTGTTGTCGTTGTGCCTAGGGCAGTTCGGGAGGGGGAAATTGTCATTGACTGCTAAGATTAAAACGTATACATGTGGGTCCTCTCAGCTGCACCCTATGATCGCGCGCACAATGATCTCAGCTGCACCGTTCGGGAGGAGATTGTGTGGTTTTGTCTCTTTGTTTGTTGTTTTATACTGTAAGACATTGATCTGTATATTATACAATTTCTCAATTTAGATGGAACAAGCACATGTGCATGATATCAGTTTTGTCGTCACTATTTTGCATTAGGCATGATGCGCTAACTTAATTTATCATCAATTGCACATGTCTAATTATGAACATTGATACATCTATTTTGCATCATGTTTTTCCTACTGTTATTTATATTATTTTAAAACTATATTTCACTTTTAGGTGCCATTCTAATGTCTTTTCTCTCCTAAATTGCAAGTTTTATCACAAGAGGGAGACTGCCGGCAACTGAAATTCTGGATCTGAAAAGAACTACAATAGAGATAGCTATTCTCCGAAGCTCCAAATGACCTGAAATTTTATGAAGATTTATTTTGAAATATATAAAAAATACTGAAAGAAGAATCATCAGGAAGGGACCCAGTAGTGAGCCAGAAGCTTAAGTGGCGCGCCCACCCCCTGGGGCGCGCCACTTGAGCTTGGGGGGCCACCAGCAGGCCTCCGTGGCGCATCTTATCCTGTATGAAGCCATTTGCCCCTTCTGCTCCCGATGCGGTGTCAGATCCGTGCATCCCAGTGCTGGTGAAGCGCCTCCGCATTCAGGTGCATGCTGGGTGGACCCTGGGTCGTCGTCTGCCCTCCCTGTGTAGGCTCGACGGACGCCCTCGCGTTAGGTGCAGGTCTACACCACTCTTGATCTAGTTTCCCAGATCTCGTGTTGTGGTCTTTGGGGCCACCGGGCCTGGTGCGGTTCACATTTGTGGTGTTCCTGCTGACGTGTGTGGGGTGGTGGTGAGCGGTGGCAATGATGCAGGAAATAGGTTGATCTCCAAGCTTCTATCGGCACTGCGGGCGCTCTGATTTGGTCTCCTGTGGGCATGTGTGGGGCGTGTCAGTGCACCTGATGTTTGGTTTTGCCCAAAACCATGGTGGTTCTTGGCTGAATCCGTTGCCCTAACACGTGCACTCAGCCTGGTTATCTTCGAGACGGGCTGCTCGGGCCTCCAACGGGCCATAACAACTAGGAGCAGCTTACTTGTCATGTCCGAGCTCATGAACTAGCGGCAAATTGTAGGCGTGGTGTGCATGGTGACCAGCATGTGGGGTTGGCTGATCTCCCAAACACTGTAACTGAAGCTGTGACCGCCTGGTCGGTCCGAGATGATCTATGGAACGCAGGTGTTCCAGTTTTTTTTATATGCAAAAGGTGTCCCAGTTTTTTTTTTGAGGAAAAAAAAGGTGTCCCAGTTAAAAAATCAAAAAAGGAAAGAAAAAAAGAGGGGAACCAATAAGGCTTTCGGGCCATCCTTTTCCATTCAGCTAACCAGGCCGTCAAGGTGAATCCATTCCAGCCCGGAGCCCATTTATGAGTGCCCGAGTGGCCGAGTCCGACCCAGCCACGACACCTCCACGCGATTTCACCCGACGGCCCTAGCCAGGCTCCTAAACCTCCTCCGCTCTTCTCCCCCAGCCGCTTCGCCGCCGCCCGCCGCCCGCCGTCCCGCCGCCCGCGATGGAGGCCCTCCACGAGGAGATGCCCTTCGACCTCTCCTTCCACCCCTCCGTGCCCCTCGTCGCCACCTCCCTCATCACCGGCGAGCTCCACATGTGCGCGCCGCCTCCAGCGCCCTCAGTAATTTCTCGCTCCCCCTTCCGAGGTGGTAACCGGTTTCTAATTTCCGCTGCCCCTCGCAGGTTCCGCTACGCCGACGGTTTGCCGCTGGAGAGGTACTCGCGGTGGCCCCTGCTCCTCGTGCTTGGTTAATTTCGTATTGCGTTGCTAGCTGCTGTTGTTTCACAGTACCGCCACTATCACTGCTTCCGGTCTGAGATTGCTAGTTGCTGTTCTTGCTTACTTACGTTTGGAGCCGTAGAGGTTTCATTTGTTGTATGCTGATTGCACGAGGTGGATAAGCTCATGTGGTTAATGCAGAGTTCGTGCAGGGTTCAACTCTGTTTGGTCGTTTTTCGCATAATTAAATTCCCCTGCCTGGTTTTGCAACCCTTGATGGTATGTTTAGCAAAGCTTGATTTGTGGGGGCCGTGCGGGCATTTGGGTTGAATGGGTGTATGCGAGTTCAAAATTTAAGTGCCTCACTGACTCTGTGACTAATGGTGTATACACTTCTGTTTGTGGGTATGCTTTCTGTTTGATGCTGGAGCTGTCTTTGTGTTATTACAATTATTATGTAGTTTTCATATCGACAGAAATTGATGAAAACTTCCTCTTGTTATGTTTTTATAAGGTTGTTCGTGGCAAAACCTCACAAGGAGTCATGTAGGGCTGTTCGTTTTGTGGACTCAGGAACTGGTAATAACTCCCTTATCGATGCCAGTACTTCCCAGCTTGCCAATCAACTGCCCTGCATTTTATCTGTGATTTTGATATTTCACCAGCTGTTTTATTTGCTTAAGCATGGTGCTAAAACATTAGTAGCTTTATGCTGGCATTGGCAATCACAATTCACAAACCATATTTGAGGGTAACACACCTCCGATCATCTTGTTAGATACTCTAACCAGGTCCTGTCGGTTGATGTTGTGGCTTGTTGCAGCGATTCTGACGGGATCTGCTGATATGTCGATTGTCGCTTCTGATGTAGAAACAGGCAAAGTCATTGCCCGTTTGGATAATGCACATGAGTAAGTTTTTGTCAGTTATCAGTGCTGCTATTGATTTTATTGTGGAACTAAATATCTATGCCTCATTTCATATTCTTGTTGATATTTTCAGTGACGCCATAAACCGCCTTGTGTGTCTTACTGAAACTACAGTTGCTTCAGGCGATGATGACGGTTACATTAAGGTATTTAATATTGTATCGGTTCGATTGCCTCCAGCTGTATCGCTTTCAAACGTAGGCCAGTTTGAGCGTTGATTATTACCTGTACATTTATGGGAGTACAAAATATAATTACATCCCAGCTTATTTATCCATGCAGACCTGATCTAAGTACCTAATCGTCCATGCTTGGTTGATAATAATCATAATAGCTATCATTTAATGACCACTTGCATATGTTTTGGACTGGCACAGCTACACTTACAAGCCGACACTTGATAGTTTTTCCATGTTTCTAGCTCTTATCTTTTTCAATAGTAGTAACACAATCTCTTTGATACAATCAGTTTAAAATACTTCTTCAATTTTAGGTGTGGGATACTCGGCAACGATCTTGCTGCAACACTTTTCACCGCCATGAAGATTACATATCAGATATGACCTATGTAGCTGGCTCAAATCAAATATTGGCTACAAGGTACTTAATTTGCATTCCTGCAATTTTATTGCTGTACCAGTGTTATATAGTTGAGCATTATTTCATAGGAATGAGTGGCCTATTTGTATGCAAGCACAAACTTAGTGTTTCCATGGCAACGAGGTCTACCAATCTCTCTTTCTCATAGACCATTCGGCATCATGGAGAGGCCACAACCATTTCACTACTTCGTTTAGATCACTGATGCAGAACAACACTGTTATTTAGTACATGAATGATGATATATGTATGAGGCCAGTGTTTTGTGAATCCTTGAAGTTCCATTTTTTGGGCAGTTCTACCTGTTCAAAGTTTTGGTTTTTTTTTTTTTGCCTTGGCATTATGGTAATCAATGTTAAAATTTATCTTGTTATTTGCAGTGGTGATGGAACTTTATCTGTGAACAATCTCCGGGGTAACAGAGTGAGTTGCCTTTCCAATACATCAAATCTCATCCCTGTGTATTATATAAACCCTTACTCTATGTTTGCTTTTAAGAACTTCCACACTATGAGTTACCTTCAATCTTAATAACCATGGTCATGCCTAATCTGCTAATAGGTAAAGTCACAATCTGAATTTTCAGAAGACGAACTCCTATCTTTGGTGGTAATGAAGGTGATTGCCTTTGTTTAATAACTTTCACTTATTCACAGCTTCACACCCTTCATCTATAATTTCATGGTTACTGAACAAAACTTTATTCTTTGCAATTGTCAGAATGGCCAAAAAGTTGTTTGTGGAACTCCAAGTGGAACTCTGTTGTTGTATTCGTGGGGACATTTTAAGGACTGCAGGTAAATGTGTTTTCATGACTGCACCAGGAGCAGAAATATAATGCATCCTTTGATTTACGTCATCTACTGTAATTTATTTATCGAGTGGTCACTATTGTAAAATGTAAAGAAAGATGTACCCAATAGCTATCCACCTACCATGGATTATGTTCCGAAGGGCACCCATGAAAACACTCCTTATTTTCTCTAGTTCTCTGTTTTCATTTTAAATGCTAGCCATACAACTGCTCTTATCCTTTTTAGTTGTATATGTAGCTGTATCCTCTGTAATGTACATTAGTAAACATTATGTTTGTCAGTGATATTTCTCTTTTCTCATGGTTAAACAATAACATTAGCCATTTTTTGGTAAATATCAGGCTTTATTCAGTATTATCTCACATGTACGTAATTCCTACAATGTTATTGTCTGTTAAGGCTCATGTTGCTTTATTATCACCGATAAGGCGAGAAGAATCTTCACATGTGATAAGCAGAGTAATTTGAACATGTTACAGCTTAAACCAGTTTGCCTCTTTCAATTTCTGTGATGGTAGACCAAGTAAGTCTGCAATTGGTTTTGTCTGTAGTTGTGTACTAACATATACTTTTGTGGCTAGTGACCGTTTTCTGGGGCACGCGCAGTCTGTTGATAACTTGCTGAAGGTTAGAATGAATGCCTTTTTGTATTTCTGCCTTCTTTTACTCTGTCTAATCATCATTTAATGTAGTGTATTTGGTGTTTTAGCTGGATGAAGAAACTCTGATATCTGCTGCAGCAGATGGTGTGATCAGGTTTGAAATTTATCATGGCGCCTTTATGACCTACTTCTGTCGCCTGTTTAGTATTATTCATTATTTTATCATGCCCTCCATATTCTTGTCGCATTCAGGTTAGTGGGTATCTTACCGAATCAGATAATACAGCCGCTAGCTGAGCATTCAGAATTTCCAATTGAGGCGCTTGGTACGTTCACTCCGTCATTTCTCGGTAAAAGTTACTCCAGGAAGTGCCAAGTTCTCAACTAGTATCTCTGTTCCGCAGGTTTCTCGCACGATAGGAAGTATCTTGGCAGCATTTCACATGACAAAATGATAAAGGTGACCCCTCTCCCCTCAGCCCTTCCCCAGTATCCATGTAGTACTAGCAGTGATCTAACCAGGCACCCTGTTTTCTGCAGCTCTGGGACATGGAAGAACTCCTGGGCGGTCCACAGTTAAATCACCAGAACGACATGCCCGAAGCCAACGCCGCCGTCCATCACGACGAGTTGCCTGAAGCCAACGCGGCCGTCCACCACGACGAGTTGCCTGAAGCCAACGTAGTCGCTGGTCACCACGACGAGTTGCCTGCAGCCAACGCGGCCGCTGTCAACCCCAACCAGCCGGCTGAAGCTGACAGCGACGACGACGACGGGATGGACGTGGACATGGAGCCAAGCTCTTCCAACGGTAAGACCTATGCCTGCCTTGCATCGAAGCAACCAATGCGCCGTTGCTATTTAGGGTCTCTGATAATGGTTGCCCTTGCTTGTGCCGTCGTGTGGGACAGTGTCGAGGAGCAAGAAGAAAGGCAAGGGCAAGAGGCTGGACGGGTTCGCGCCGGACTTCTTTGCAGATCTGTAGCCTGCCCAGGCGAGGGCAGGAGGGCCGCCCTTGAGATGTTTGACGTGCCAAGGAGCAGTTTTGATGTTGTCTCGTCAGTATATCGGGTTGTAGGAGGAATGTTTTAGTTTATTTATAGGCGTGAGGTGTGTGGACTTGGCTATCATAGTAACGTGTATTTCCGGGCCGGCTGCAAATGGCCCCCTGAAGTGAAGCAATACGTGCAGTAGCAGTATCCTTTATTGTCGCAACGAGTTGCCCCTGCCTTGTTTTCTGGCTGTTTTATCTTTTGCCGTTTACGTGCGTGCGTGCGTGCCATTGTATCTTATTCAGTTTATTCTGGCTTGTTTTGTCTCGGGTTCTCAGGCAAAGTACGAACGAGGAAACCAGCTTGCACGCGTAGCTTTCGCAAAGTCACGGTGTGGCTAGCATAAGCGGCAAAGATAGTCTACGATATGTGCGTAGCCGGCCGAAGAAAGAGCTAGTACGTACTTTGCGTGCCCTCACGCGTCAGTCGGTTTCATACGAGCCCGTGCCGCACTGTTCCCTCGTGCAGCCCCACCAACGAACAGTGACGGCCCGACCTGTGCCGGGTGCGACGGTGAACGCCGTCCTAGTCACTCCAATGTGACGGCACTCCTGGACAAAGCTGTGGAAGGTGAAGGTACCTTTCGACTAGGTGGTCCAAGGATATAGTTGTAATTTTTATCACCTGTGTTTCTTTGTACTATCACTAGCAAAGAGGTTCGGGCGTTGCAACGAGAGAAAAAAAGGTACCATGTTTTTTATTTATATAAAAGAAAATTCGAGAATTTTTAGCTACGGCGCAAACAAAGATGGTCTTAACCTATAAAAATGCAGTTTAAGATTCTACAGGTGTTCTATTTCAACACGGCTTGCATTTAGATTTAATTCGTACAAAGAAACGGGCAAGTGATCATGCATTTATTCATGTCATGTTTGGAATGGGGTGTCGTTACGGTCGAGTAAAGAAAAAGACAAAAACAAATGATGACACATTAGCACACTACGAGACATGTGTGCATCAATGACAGTTTTCAGTTTAAGAATCACCAACTTAGGGCAATTCTTGAACACTTCTCTTCACATGCATATTTCTTAAATGGTAAAGGCTTGCAGCCGGTGCGCCGGTTGAGTTTTCGGCCTGTCGCACCGCGCTTGCTCGCTCGTTGTCTTCTACACGCAAGCCACGTGTCCTAGTTGGGCCCATGCGCTGCCCCCGCCAGCAAAACCTTATCTGTTCAGAGGCGATCTTGTCCACTTGTTTCTCCTCGCAACGACGCCTCTTTCTTCTTCCACCAACACACCACACACCATGACTCATGCTATTCCTTCTCGGATCCCTGTGCTGCAAGCGGCACTCGACAGCTGCGACGGAGGCCTGGCCGACTAGCCGGCGCTCGGGGGTGACTCCGCGACGACGCACAGATGCGTTCCTCGCACGTTTCGCTACGAAGGCAAGCGATGTCGGTGAGGAGCTGGATGGGGATAAGCGCCAGGGGCCCATGGTGGTTTTACGGGGTGATGTGGGGCGGAGGGGTGTTACAACCGATGGTAGAGGGAGCTGCAATCATGGTTTGACGATGCTGGAGCCAGCGGCCACCGCCGGCGATGGAGCTGCAACCGGCCACAGGAAAGCTACAACCAGCTGCAGCCTTTTTTTCGAGCGCGGAGCTGCCACCGGCGAAGGGAGGAGCTACAACCACACCCCAAAATGCTGGAACCGTTCTGCGTGAATGCTACAACCATGGCCTAATTTTGCTGGAACCACTTGTATGCTACATCCATGGCCCAATTTTTGAATTTTTGCTATCAATGGCGTTTTGGTTTGCTGGAACCATCTTCAATTTTTGCTACCACCGGTGTTTCGGTTTGCCGGAACATCACCTAATTTTGCATTTTTTGCTTCCATCGTTTTGGTTTTGTTGGGAATTTTGCTGGAACCAGATTAAATTGTTGCTGGACCCGGCTGTTTTTGTGAATTTTTGTGTTGGAACCGGCATCGGCAGGAGCTGGAACCGATATCTGCAGGAGCTACAACCGGCCAAGGGGTGTTTTGAAGCTGGAACGGTGGCGGCGACGTCGTGAACGGCGGCGGTGTCGCTGTGAACGGCAAGCGGAGAGGGGATGGTATTGGAACGGCGGCGGTGTCGCTTGTGAACCAGTGGTTGTGGGTGTTGGAACCAGCTTCGTCAGGGGCTGCAACGGTCATTATCGGAGCTGGAACCGCGAGGGAGGGTGAGGATGCAAGGGGGAAGGTGTTGCAAAACACGAGCGAGCTCGCCGATGGCGGAGGCGGTCGGCAAGCGCGTGCGCGTGAGGGGTGGCCAGTTGAGCGTGAGGGGAGGAGCGGGTGTCGGTGTCAAAACAGGCGGATCTCGGGTAGGGGGTCCCGAACTGTGCGTCTAAGATCGACGGTAACAGGAGGCGGGGGACACGATGTTTACCTAGGTTCGGGCCCTCTGTATGGAGGTAATACCCTACTTCCTGCTTGATTGATCTTGATGAATATGAGTATTACAAGAGTTGATCTACCACGAGATTGTAATGGCTAAAACCCTAGGAGTCTAGCCTATATGATTATGATTGTGATCCTGCCTCTACGGACTAAACCCTCCGGTTTATATAGACACCGGAGGGGACTAGGGTTGTACAAAGTCGGTTACAGAGAAAGGAATCTTTATTATCCAAACGCCAAGCTTGCCTTCCACGCCAAGGAGAGTCCCATCCAGACACGGGAGAGAGTCCTCGGTCTTGTATCTTCATAGCCCAACAGTCCGACCCATGCTTCATAGTACGGCTATCCGAGCACCCCTTAATCTAGGACTCTCTCAGTAGCCCCTGAACCAGGCTTCAATAATGAGGTGTCCGGCACGCAGATTGTCTTCGGTATTGCAAGGCGGGTTCCTTCTCCGAATACTCCAAAATAGTCTTTGAACACAAGAATCGTGTCCGGCTCTGCAAAACAAATTCCACACACAACCATAGAGAGTATAATATTTCATGAGTCCAATCCACTGACAACTTTTTGTAGCGTGACATCATGTCGCCGCCCGGCCATTATTTCGAACCGTTTTTTAGCCTGTCGCTCCATATTTTGAGATGCGGTTTTACTGGCACGTCTTGTCAATGCAGAGATCATGTCCCCTTACTATGAGATTCTCATCAATATGGGCGCGGGTAAACCCACCGTATCATTTGCATGGCCCTTGGGAATAAGCGGGTTTTTAGGGCAAGTGGGGAGGCGTTTGATATTCACTGCCTTTATAAAGGGATAAGGATTCACCCCTTTCACCCATGCCTTCTCTTTCTATGCTTCCCCTATTCTTGAGCTCTAGCGCCCAAGTTCTCACCTTTTCCACCCCAAAAGAGCACCCCAGCCATGTCTGGATCCGGAGTGCGTGGCAAGTGGATGGCCTCCTCCGTCAAGAAGAAGGACATTACGAAGCTCCGGGAAGCCGGGTATCTGGCGAAGGAAATCGCCCACCGGCTTCCGGCCGAGGGACAGATCGTCCCCACTCCGGAGCCCCACGAGAGGGTAGTATTCATCTCTCACTTCGCCCGCGGGTTGGTAATTCCTCTCCACCCATTCGTCTATGGACTCATGTTCTACTACGAGCTAGATTTCCATGATCTAGCCCCAAATTCTTTCCTCAACATCTCGGCATTCATTATCATGTGCGAGGCCTTCCTCTGCATCCCACCCCACTTCGAATTATGGCTGAAGATCTTCAATGTGAAGCCAAAGGTGGTGGGTGGCCAACACGCAGAGTGTGGAGGCGCCATGGTGAGCAAGATGCTCAACGTCACATGGCCAATAGGTACCTTCATGGAGACCGTCAAAGGGTGGCAACAACAATGGTTCTACGTCACAGAGCCGTGCAACACCACATGGGCCATGACTCCCGAATTCCGGTCCGGACCCCCAATGCGGCTCACCTCCTGGCCAGAGAAGGGCCTGGATTGGTCTTCGTCGGACGAGCTGACAGCGCTTCAGACGTGCATCAAGAGCAGTGGACAAGAACATCAAGCTTGTCACCGTGATCCAGGTGATGCTCGTTTGCCGGATCCTTCTATGCCAAAGCCGGACTTGCCATTTGTGAGAGTTCGATCCGGCCAAGCACCAGACCCTGCTGCAGTTCTTCAGCACTATGCATGAAGACATTTGGAAGGTGTTTTTCAAGTCCAGCAAGACGTGGCCGGACACGGCCGAGGACCGTGGGCACGACTTGGCCCATCCCGCTAGTCCGGTAAGTTTTTCATGTTTTCAAGGTATATCTTTTACTTGCATATTCAAGGAAGAAGCCTAAGCATCCCTACCGATCCTCTCAGGGCTGGACAAAGAAGGCGGAGCAGATTCACTGTCCGACTCCGCTGCCCGAAGACCCAGCAATTCCTCTTCTGATGAAGATGCTGGTTCCGACGCCCTATCAAGCGTCGGAGAAGAAGGCCAAGAAGAAGACCAAGGAGACCAAAAGCGGTCTTCGTCCCAAGGTTGCTTCGGACATGACGTCTGAAGACACCAAGACTCACTCCTCCGCCTCCGGAGACGAAGAGGAGGAGGAAAGCAACTCTCCCCCTGAGGGAGGAAGGAAGAAGAGGGCGGCGTCCACAAATCTGCAGGCAGAGGCGTCCAGAAGGGGGAAAGGTTCCCTCGCGGTAAATCCGCGTGGGACATCGACAACAGCCCAGAGCGACACCCTCGAGACAAGCCCCTGGCCGAATCGTGAGTACTCAAAAACCCAGACACATTCATATATCCGACCTCTCTACTTCATAGTCTTAATTATGTTAAATCCTGCGTTTGCAGTCCAGTTCGGTCGGACCTCGAGCGGTCCTCGTCTTCGGGGGGTTCGCTGGACGCGAAGGCAATGGACAGTGGGTCCCTTCGAGCGGCCTCCTCTCCCAAGGCCATGGATGACACCAAAGTGTTGTCCCAAAGGATCCCAGGCCAGGAAGAAACGCAGAAGGCCGTCAAGGCGGTGTCGGAGGGTGAAACC